ACAATCACCATTATAAAATTATAAATGAAGACACGGTACAAAATGTGTACAGAAAGCATTTTCCTTAGTTCATATCTATGGGATCACATTTCTAAGGACAGTTGTGAAAACCACATATATTAACCTGAAAATGTTATGAATGAGACCATTCCATTCCTTACCGCTATGCAGGATAAACAAATTCACTAATGTCAATGATTGAATCGACTAGTCCCCATCATCTAAAGCTGAAAACATCCCATTAGCACATTCCCTATCATTCAAAATTTGCAGAAATTTTGACACTTATATTTATTTAACCAAACATAATTGGCTCACTCACTTACTTTGGTCTGAAAAACTGGAAGGTCTTTTATTATAACATGAATTTTACTCTGGTAACTTATAATTGGCAGTTCCCAAAACAACACATAAATTTGAATATAAATAGCTATATTTATAGTCAAAATGTTTTTCTGACTGAAGATAAATTAGTCTTCTGCTAGACAGGTCACATTCTGTAACAAACTCTAAGACACAGGCAAGCATTATTATCTTAGAAATTATGTGGTGCAGGGTCACAGGTCTACCCTAACAGTAGCTGGGCAAAATGAGACCCAAAGGAGCCGGGCACTTTGCTGAAGCTACTAAGAATGAAGTGACAGGGGGAAAATGAGCATTTGTGTCCAAAAAGGTGCCAATGCACAAACTCATTTTTGCCAAGAATTGATTTCAATTGGGGTGGTGTGATTCTTGTCTGTGTGTAATAAGTTTAGCTGTTTCAAGTTTCTTTCAGTGATAGTATGCTTGGATTCATTCTCTACGACTCTACAGAGAGCAGATACCTAACATTTGACCTCACCTAGAGTCATGCCTCTTACACCAGAAAATATTCTTTGTACAATTTAAATCACTCTAGAAAACTTGATGTTAATCGGGTGAATAATATAATGCTAACAAAATTATTAAAGTGTTCCCATTGCCGACTAGCGAATTAGAATCTATTTTTTTATAATAATTGTGATTTTATTTTATTTATTTATTTACTCATACAGAACTGCGGTACAAGCCAAAGGTGCAGGGGCGGTGAGAGGATTCACCAGACACAAAGTGGGGAGCAGAACAGGCCGACAGATGAAATACACTGCGGAGGGGAGCAGCGGGCGGTTCAGGAGAGGTCTGCTACGCCTAGAATCTATTTCTTAAATAATTCTCCTTAGAGACTTTTTTAAGAACTATTATGTATTTTGGTATGAAGGACTGGTAGGTTTCCTGTGTGCATCTATAGAAGAAGATTATAATACAAGTAGGGAGAGAATAGATCATTTAATAGCCTTTCTTAGAGAGTGTGGTTGTCCATAGTTTTAGCAATGTATAAAGGAAACATAATTATCATGTTAACATTAGGAGGTAGAGGGGGAAAGAGGAAGGAAGACCTACCCCTCCCTTCTTCCCTCCTTCCCTCCCTCAATCCATCTCCTTTGCGTTTGTAAAGATGTTTACAATTGACAAGTCACTTATGTACTTACTTTATTCTGAAACCAGTATTTTGAGATAAAGTCTTATTGAACCCATTTTACAGCTAAATAAATGAACATAAATCTGGGGAACATATAAATGGCCAAAGACAAAGTAATGAAGAGATGGAGCTTGGATTCACCAAAGCCAATGATCTCTTTGTATCTCTGCACCTTCCCAAAGCAAAATGCCATACAACATCAAACAGACACACAGACACACACACACAGACATTCGAAGGCACAGCCCAAATAACACTGTGTATGGACACAACTATATATGTCACACTGTAAATGAAAGATAACACTATAAATGTATGGTTTATATATACACACCATATTTATATACTCATTCTAATGCAAATCCCAGCATTTTCTCTAGAAATATATTTTTAACCGAAATGACAAGACTAATCAATTTCATTATATGTGATTCATTTTACAGATAATTTTGCAGGAATCTTGCCAAGGGACACAGGTGAAAATCTAAGACAGACAGCTTCCAGGAGGCATTGTTTTACTTATTCAGTCATTATTTTCAATTTTCTCAACACTAATTGATAAAGAATATAACTTCAATACCCTGGTCTATAGCAAAGAGACTTCCTACAAATCAATTAACTGTGATACAAAGCTTGAAATTACACTTAACTGCTACGTGCTCAAAAGATAAACACCTGGAGGGTTCATAAATATACATTTTTTGTTATGAATCTTAACGTTTGTAATGGACCAAAGCACAGCATGGTCGAATATTTCTGCAAGTATCCTGCACTGGAAGTACTGTTTGTGAATATAATTGGATGTGTTAAATCCAACCAGGCAGTTTATTAATCAGTAGGCTAGACTGCAGACCATGAGATAGAAACTATTTATCTATGGCATGCTTAATATTTCACATTAATGTAAAAAGCTGCCTCTTTGGTCTATAAGCAGATAAACCTAAAGCCAGCGACAAGTACCATGAACTTTTCCTACTGGAATTAATGTTTCCCCCACACCCAACCCACCTAAGAGAGCACCAGGGAAGTGGTGTGATTCTCAGGACAGCTTGGGAAGCCAGTGATGTAAGCAATGGGGAAGCCTGAGGAAAGGGTCTGGCCTTAAAAGTGTACTTCTCACTTGCACCTCAGTGGCAAAGACCCTTCAGCAGGCATAATGCGCTCAGCAACGCCTTGGGTTAGAAAGTATCTGCCTGTCTTTTCTGGGCATCTGTTTACCCTTAGGTCATGGTGATCCAGCATAAGCACCCCTGAGGAGTGGCATCGCTTAAAAATACAGATTTTTATCATAAATAAAAGCTTTTCAGAAGAGTAACACTCGCACCCCTCATTCTGTGAAAATGATATTCAAAGAAACAGCCAATAGTGGATAATCACATCTTGCGGGCTTGACCAAGAGAACAAGTAATAACAATAACACTCTGGCACTTGGAAATGCAACAGTTCCTACTTCAGCCTGTTGGTTTGTGACAACTGCTATACCAGGCAATGGTACAAGCAACAGCAGACTTGGTGAACCCATTATAACAAACACTTTCAATTATTTAGAACATAAAGTTAACGTCTCTTCCTAAGGGCCACCAGATGAAGCTGGCGGACAGCCCTGGCGGACAGCACAGCAAAATCCGGCAGAAAGGCACACCCTGCAAGGCGGAGCCCTGGGGTCACAACAGCAGAGCATGTTTTATAACATTCCCTGGAAAAGCACTGCACATTCAATTATATGTCAAAAGTAAGGTTAGGTTTGAGAATGTAACTTCATTTTTCATTTGAAAGGTCATAATGAAAGTGATATTAACCTTGGACATTATTTAACAAACCTACAAATTGCATTTTCCCACTAATATCATTTGAATTTCATTTTTCTCTCTGATGAACCATTCCCCTTGGAGAAAGGACTGGCTTGTATTCTATTGTGAAAGATGTGAGGCTGATGGAAATAGTGTAATTTGACAGTGGATGGCTTTTATCAGAAACAATGAAAACATTAGTGACACCTATAATGATTAGGTTATACAACTACACAAAACATAACAAATTAAATCACTCCCTTCCGCAAGACTCTAACAATTTTATTACAGCAGCCACCTCATGTACTTACTGCAATTGTCATTCAATCGGGTACCATCATTTTCAATCCACAATGCAACATAAAGCTCACACCCACGACACACGGGCTTTCACCCTCGCCCATCCGCTGCTCTCTGGGCACACAGAGGCAGGGACTGAAAACGCCGACACCCAAAGAAAAGACCGACACGAATGTCTGCTTCCCCTGACGCTGCTTTTGGAAATAAATTTTGTGCTAAAACCCAAGCCCAAGCGTTCTCCGAGTGTGAGTTAAGTTCTCTGAGTGTGAATAAGGCGAGAGCAGGGCACCGCTGGGGAAGCTGGCCACGGGGTCCTCTCAACTCCAGCGGGGCTGAGACCTGGAGTCTTCCCCCGCGAGGCTGGGGGTTGCAGGCTGTGCAATCACCAGCCACCCAAATTTCAACATGTAACTCTCAATGCAGTCATCTTCATCCAAGCCCTGAGACCTTGAACCGCACAGACCAGAAAGAATGCTGTTTAACATTTCCCCAAACATTAAACATGGATTCTGCATTTCATCCAGACCTGAGGACCCAGCATCCGGCCCTCCCCTGCGGGTGCCCGCTCCTGCCTGTCAGTCATACTTTGCCCAGAGTGGGCTGCGGCCGGCAAGTCCAGGTTCGGCCCTGTAAATCGCCGAGTCCCATCAAACAGTCCTCCCGGGGCCTGGGGAGGAGTGCAGCTCTCACGCCTTTTAATTGCGCAGGGAACTATCAGAGAGACCCAGGGAGCCGCCGTCTGCAGCCTGAGCTCCCCAGATGGAGTCACAATGAGCCAACTCCCAGGTAGTTTCGGCCCCTCCCTATTTGCACAGAAGTGGCCGCCACAGACGTCAGGCATCTTAAATATCGGGCACATAGTTCCTAAAAGTGCACAGCTCCGCACGCCGGGCCGAGACTGCGCCTTTGGCACATCCTTTTCCGAACCAGCTCTGTGCTCGGTACCATTAGGCAGGCGCGTCAATAACACCTCTCAGAGTCAAAGCAAATCAGATCCGTTTAAGCGAAACCCAAGGGGGTGTGGGGGATAAAGCCCCTAGGAGCCGCCACCTGCCCCCCTTTCTCTTTTCCCACCCCCTCCGCTACCCCCCCGTTTGGCGACACCTAACTTTAGGTACCTGACAAGTAACTGTGGTTCGCGGGAAGCACACACACACACCCATACACACCCCCAAAATGCCGAAGCCTGTTTTCCCACCACGCAGACCAGGGAGGCGGCTGCACCTCTCCGGCGACTTGGTCGCGAACGCAGCGGCTGGAACGCGCGGAGTAGCCATCGGAGGAACTACATCACCCCGAAAAGGAGGCAGGTCGGCGAAACCCGAAAAGCGGCGCCGCTCGCAGCCATGAATCACCGATCGCCCAAATATCGCCTCGCAACCCCCCACCCGACACACGCACAGCTTTCCAACCTGCTTCCAGGCGGCGCTTTCCCGAGCCTCGCTATCTATTGTCAGGGCGCACCAGCCCCCGAAACCTGGGGATCGAGCTGCAGAGGCGCCCTCGGAATCCGCTCAATAGAGCCCAGAGGGGCCGCGGGTCCGGCCGGCCGCCGCCAGGGGCCGAAACGGCCATGGGCGCCAATGCCCAAGTGTCTCCCGGCTCCTCCAGCCGAACCTCGTCATGACATTGAGCATAAGGGCGCCCGCCGCGAGGGAAGCCCTCCCCGCCCCCACCCACCTCTCGCCCGCGGAGGAGGGACGTCATGCCCGCCGCGGGCGGCTTCGGGGGCGGCGGGCGCCGTATTGTTGGGGCTGCCCTATATACGCGTCCTCGGGGGCGAGGGCTGGCAGCGAGGGGGAGCCCGCCGGGACGCCACGCGCGAGCC